ATTAATTAAAGTACATAAAATTATAATTATAATTTTTTATTATATAATATTATTTAATATATTTAATATAATATATTTTATAATTTTATTCATTTTATTTAATATTATTTTATTTTTCAATAGTAATATTTATATGTAAGTGCCCGCCTTGCTAATGTGCCCGCCTTGGTGATAAGCACCACCATAGGTGGTGAGAGCTTCTGTAGCTGAATTACCTAATGGTGGGGCGTGGCACGAGTACTCCGTGGACGTAAGAACGCACATCTCAATCGCCAGATAACGTTTCGTCCGTGTCCCTGATCAAACAAATGCTAAGAGCAACATGACCAACTGATCTGCATAAGGGGGAGTAACTGCATCCGAGATGGGATTCAAAACAAAGGGGCCGCGGTTGTTTGAGATTTTTTTTTTAAAAAAAAAGCCCTCCAACCGGCGAAATCATCTTCATATCCCTTTTTTTTTGCCCCTTCTTCCAAAACCGCCCCATTTGTGGATTCAACCTTTTGCCGAAATACGCGGATTGGGACCAACATGTGGCGCCCAGGTTTATAAACTTCTCCACATGCATGTTCGTCAGGCTCAAGCTGATAGGTGCCAAGACTTGTAGCAATATGATCCAAACCACCTCGTTCGCTTCCTTGGAACGGGATTTTAACAGAGAGGCGCTTGTATAATCCCGTTGCTCATTGCCGCGAATCGATCGTCCCTTGTGGGTTGTTAAAGTCAAATGGCTCGAAATTAAATGCACTGCCGTCCTGGACCGGAAGCTGAGCACTCAGAAACTCATCGGTGATCAATGTGCCCAGTTCGTCGTCAAAACTGGTCAATAGCCCCGTCGTGGCGTCGGCACCGCCAAGCTCATGCCTATTAATCAAGTCCGGCGCATTGAGAAGTACGTCAGGAGGCCAAGTTGTTTCGCGACATTGCCTTGCCACAGTTACGCAATCGCGAATCTCCTTCACACATGGCAGGCTGTTTTGTATCTCGTCCATGGCTTCCGTCAGCAGAGACAACGAGCGTTCGATCTCGGGGTCATCCCACGATGATTTTGGGAAGAACCGCTTCATCATGAGGACCTCTGTGGCCGTGGAAAGCGTTTGTGCAAAATCCAGTGAGAGAGATCTGTACCGATAATAGCGAGAGTAACTTCGCATGAGGCGCAAGATGGCCTGCAGTGACTCGTAACAGATTTCAACATCTTCGCTTTCTGAGATTCCAGGCTTTTCAAACATATTTGATGGTGGGCGATAGAGAATGATCATGACGATGTGAAATAACATGCTGTCAAGTCGTCAGGCTGCTTGTTAAGAATTCTCTACGCCGAGGGGGACGGTTTTAGACTTACTGCATGTGAAGTACAGGCGATGACACCTGCCCTAGTGTCTACTGATTCCAGTGCAGCGTTCCTGGCAGGCTCGCAAGCCATTTTGTCGGCGAAACGTGAATCTTGTGCGACTTGGCCGCTGCAATGGCTGGATCAACATCGCCTCGCCGGTTTTCAAAGAGATCCGCAATCATGACGTGAATGATCTTGCAAACTTCCCAGTTACTTGGGTCGAGGTAAAAACCCATCTCGTGAGCCACTCGAAAAGCCATGCCGCAAAAGAGCCCTCCTTTAGATGTCTGCCCTGCAGCGATTTCTCGATGCCCCGGAAGAATCAGGGCCTGGAGTGTAGTGAGGTCGGACTTGTCCAGTGTTGCAAATAGCAGTGCTTGCGCCTGTCCGGAAAACACGTCGGATAGTTTGAAGAAGTCGTCGTACAGGAGGGCTGAGAGAGAACACATTGAGTAGAGCAGCAAGTCGGAATAATATCTCCCAGAGCCAACGTCGTAGTCTCTCAAGAAGTATTCCCGGTAAACCACCATGTGATACTGGTACTGCTCCGTGAAGAAGGCAGCCATCAAGGTTTGAGAAGTTTGGTCATGAGGCGCATATTGAAAGCAGCCACTGCTACTGGAACTCGACTCCTCAGGTGCAAGGTCGGTTGTTTCCAGTGTCGAATTGATTTGGCCATCAGCCTGCACCATTGTGCCATCGCTGCTGGCCAACGTACGAGGGGTCATCTGGGTCTCGTCCCTGGAGAAGTGGATTTGAAACGAACTGGTTCCGCCAAAGAACTGTGCCGCGTTACCATCTCGCGGTCGTCTCAATTGTCCAGCGCGCAGCCGAGCAACCGCAACTCCATGGTCTCGAGTCGGGCTTGGCTGAGGCTTCTTGTCAAGCGATGCGCCGTTCTCGGGCGCCGAGCTCAGAGACAACGCTGAAAGGATCTCATCTCTCTGCGTGCTATCTGCAACGGCCAGCTTGCGAATCACTTGCTCCAGTGCACTGATTTGCCCCTATAGAGCCTGAACGTAGCTTTTAGAGACCGGTCTTAATCACGGCAAGCACAGTGCACAAAAGGGCGGTAACTCGTGAAAATATCTCGCCTCTGCTTCTCGCCAGTTCCTTGCAAGACACATTTTGATACATGTTGAACAAGGGTGCTTGCGGTCACATTTGATCTGCACACTTTGGTTAGCTTTCGGATCATTGTATGGGTGCCCGTTCTGCCCACCTTGCGACGGCGACATCGCTCACACCTAACGCGGGTGGCTAATTTGTGAGCAGACAAGGGCCATGGTGGAACGCTTCGCTTACGATATCTTGATTGATTCCCCTATCGGTGTTGTTTCCATCACGTCCAATCTTCAACCTCGACCAACTGACGATGTCGTTGCTTGCGCAAGATGCGTCATCCGAGATACAATTGACGGAAGGAGCGAGCCACCCTACAGTCGTGGCTCGAATCCACCATCCAGCCTGATGGAAAGTCACGCGTATACTCCATCCAGTCACGACAGTCTGCAGCCCATCAGATTAGAACCGCGGACGCATAATCAAGTATTTTGCGCTGCATGAAGTTGCTGTGTTGATGTGAGTCGGCGGCAGCTCCTCTGGGGAAACTCAGACCAACACCACAACTCATGAACCGACACCGGCATGGCTGGGCCTCGCTCCGCATTTCATGCGACAGACTCTCACCCCAAGCAGATGATATCGCCACGAGCACGAGAACCAACAGCGTCCTAAGCGATACGAGGATAGCGTTTCAAGTCGACGACAGAAGTAGACTCGCAACAAATCTGCAAGACCCTACATTTTCAATACCATCCACACTGGCACATGCATCCGCTCCCCAAGCGGAAATCACCACGTCACCGCAAGCAACCTCACAAAACACCGACAATATCCTCGTCCCCTCAAATCCAAAACCAACATATGCCTCCCGCCTTCACAACCGCTTCCAGCGGCGAGACTCCACAGCCTCAAGTCACCGGAGTCTCCTTCTCGCCATCATCGTCCCCCAAAACCGGCGCATCCCCCCATTCCGGCTCCCCGATATTTCTGATGCCCAACCTCACAACCGCATCCCACCCCCAATCAAGCGGCTCTCTGTGCGTGATCCCAAACCTCCCCGTCAGCTCCCTCACCCTCCCTACATCCTTCATCTTATACATCCTCATCGAAACAACGTACGTCCCCCCCACAAACACACCCGCCGGACACAACGGCACCGTAGTCCTATACATGGCCACATTTCTGCCTAGCAGCATATGTTGTGGCGGCAGTCCGGTCTTGATTAGCTCGCTCTCGAAACTGTACGAATAGCTCATGAGGAAAGTAACGTGGTCGACTGTCTAGTAGTCCTTGACATCTGTGACATGGGACGCGACGAGTTTGGAGTTCTTGTAGACTATGTAGCGTGGGATGTCTGTTCTAAGATCGCACTCTGCCGAGATCATGTCTTTGTCCTCAAGGCTCTTGATGCATGATTTGATGGGGGAGAGGGAGCCTATGGTCGTGGACTCTGCGATCAGAGGGCAAGGGACTGGGTTTCGTCGACATAGCGCGCGAAAATCATTTCCGTAGCGAGATGGCAGAACAATCACGTTTGTTTGAATGTGTCCCCGCGATATTCCCGATGTTGGACCTGTGTGCTGGCTTTCCCGTGCCGCTAGACGAGCATCTAAACCGGTGAATGACTCTGAGGCTTGGACCTTGAGAGTGGCCTTGTTTGCAACTCAAGCTGAACACAGGGAAACTATTTATTCCAAACAAGTATTGTTCTGATGCCACTTTCTATTTCTATTTATAATTCGCAAAACCCAGCTTGTGCTTTGGCCATGTTCAATCATCAACAACCGAGTGGCTGATGCTGCATCATCGCGAACTTCCGCTTCCGCCCCTACCGCACACGAGGTCGACGCTTCACTAGTCTCCCGGGCACTCGTAAAAGGGATGTATATAAAAGCCGTCTGGAAAGCTAAGGCAGTAATAAAAATTGGGTCTTGGTATCGACCTTGAGGAGCTAGTCATACAACGCCCAGCCAGATGCTTTTGACAATACCCCTACTTCCCAACAAGCCAACAAGCGTTGTCCCATAGACTGAATAATACTGGAAACCTAACCCAAGTACAAGGCTCATTCATTCAAGACCCCCCAAAACGAACTTCTATTAGTAATCAAACGTCATTATTAATCACTCCATCGCGATGATCGATCCAAAGTGCGTCTCACATAAGATCGCAATGCTCGTCTGGCATCTGTGGCCCAGCGCTTGAAACGGTCCGTCACCCAATCGGACCTGATATTGCTATTGGGTCGTTGTTTGCGATTATCAATATTATTGAGATTGGTCTCGGAGCCTTTCAGTGTTATGTTGACTGAAATGTGACTATCACTCTGCTCCAACTCCGGAATCTTCTTGCATTTTTTAGGAGGTTTAGCTGTTAAAGACTCAGCAATGCGTAATCGAAACATGGACATCTTTTTGCGCAAGCCATTCTCCTGCACAGGACTCCTGCCCGAACTGCAGCTTGGTCTCTGAACGAGGGTGTCTTTGTTTGAAGAAGATAGAGACCGTTTCTTGTCTGTATTGTCCTCTGGTGAGGGCGGGTAGGGTATACTGAAGGGATCAGATGGCTGGGGCGACCTGTGTCCTGTGTTGCCTTGACTATGTTGAGTCTCGAGCGTAGACTGAACACATCCCTCAGACTGAGAATTACCTCTGGCATTGTCTTCATTTGCAAAGCGCTGCCCAGCTTTCGTTCCGATGTTCGAGTACAAGGCCAAATCCGCCAACGAATTACACTGCTTTAACCGGTTGGCCCTGGTGCAAGGTTCACCTGTGGCTTGCCGGCCCTGGCCAAGTTGGCTTCGTGAAAGCTTGAGTTTTAGTTTTGGCTTTGCTTGTGCCGTTGATTGTTGTGGCACTCCCTGCATATCTCTTTTGATATCGGCACGAATGACGTTGCCGATGCCAGTAACCGGTGAGTATGATGGCTTGATTCGAACTTTGAATTTTGAGGGACTGCTATGCTTGCCTGATTGTGGTTGTTGTTTCAAGCCAGTTGGTAGTGGCTCGGCTAAGTCAACTTCATCGTCCTCTCGAACCATGTCATGCGACCTGGAACAGTCACATGGGTGTTGCTCATCTAGCTGGTCATCCCATTTCCGTAAAGTGTGCTGATTCTGACTTCTCTCGCCTGGCATTCCTGGGGGCAACGGTGGAAGAGCTTTCATTAGCTGCGGGATACTGTTTTTTACCTTGAGTCCACGAGCAGGAGATATTGGCTCTGGCGATAGGATGTCCAATTCTTGCTCATGCACAGACCCGTCTTTGATAAGCCCAGATCTATCATTTAAGTCGGCAGTACTGATTCTCACAGCTGCTACATTGCGACGATGTCTTTGGTTGCCGATTTTGTGGTTTGAAGACGCAACACTGTCAGCATCACTCTCACCTGGAAGTTTCTGGGCAGAAATGTCGGCCGTTTTGAAGCACGGAGATTTGCCCAGTAAGTCAAATGAAGAGAATATAGACGCAAAATCAGGCAAGGTTGGATCAAGGGCACATCGTGCAACGCGTGATCCCTGTTGAGCATCCAGTGTCTTTGGATGGCAATCAGACTTTGGCTTGGCTTCCACCGCCCTCAAAGATTGGCCTGATTTGGAAAGCTTTGCCATATTGACACTCATGTCGTGCTCATGGCTTGGAAGCGGGCTTTCAGCACTCCTTGACGCTTCAGGGTTTGCAGGAGCAGACTGAGATAACCGTCTAGCAGCGACGAGATTGCTGAGGTCGGTGTCGTCGGCGTCACTGGATCTTGTTGATTCCTCTTCCAGCTTTGGGCCTGGTTTCAGCTCTTCCTCATTCCCTGTACCGTATTCAAGACTTGGGCGGGAATGGGGAGGAAGGGCGTCGACGGCCGCATCTTGGGGATCAGGTCCGTCAGGCTTTGGTTTCACTGCAAACTCACCATAGTTTTGACTCTCGTCATCCTGAATGGGGGGAGATTCCATCGAAATCTGGCTCTTGAGGTCGTGGTGAGATGCAGTCGGTCTGTCGAAGTCCTCGCTGTAATCATAGTAGAACGAACCGGCCACCTGTGGTGGCTGTCTTGAGCCTTTTGCAGTGCTAGGTCTCCGATACATGTCAACAATAGATGTTAGACTAGGAGATCTTCCACAACGATCAACAGACATTCTCGCTTGTCTCTCAAATCGTCCATATCTGCTTGCGCCAGATTGCGAGGAGCCTGGGGTTCGAGCCCTGTGAGACATGGGCCCTGAGTGGTACGGCCCAGGGGATGCTCTTGAGGGCAACGATGCGGTAGATCGATTGAAGTCCGGCCGAAGAGACAGAGGAGGTGGCCTTCGTGCCCAGTTGTTATATGTTGACTTGTAAGACCCGTGAACAGTTCTCTATAGGCATCATTAGTTTCCATCCCCAAGGTCTCGTGCCAAGGTAGGTCAGTGGTACCTGTGAAACACGATCAAGTTCAATCATTCGACTGTAATCAATGCACCCATTTTCTGCTAACGCAGGAGACGCAGGTCGCACCCCTGGCCTCTTGAGCCGTGTTGGATATGGAAATGGTGAACGTGGCCGTTGCAGTCCACTTCGGCTGGATTGACTCTGCAAAGTCCCCGAAGACTTCTGGGATGGAAGCTGACGAGAGCTATTCGTTGTGATAGAGTAAGATCGGTGACTGATGTCATCAAACATTGGAGAAGCCGGCGTCATGTAAAATGCTTGATTGTCATACCCATAGAGCGAAATGATCTCAGATGTGGTGTCTCTGTAAGAGCGAAAATGTCTGTGGTCATCGGTGTAGTAGAAGTTCTCACCCTTTCTGGGTGTATACTTGGGAGGAGTTGTCCCCTCAAGCATGTCTGGCCTTGCCCTGGGATACTGATGATAAGCTGCAGGGGTCACCGATGGATGAATAGAGAAGACGCTAAAATCTCCTGTTTCGGTGGTTGTCTTGAGCATGCTTGTGAGCGGCCCCGGGGACGGGGGCAATATCGAATTCAGACTGGCATTCCGTAGTGCACGTCTTTGATGAGGTATTTGTCCCCTTGGAACGCTTGCCGATGGGGGAAAATGGGAACCGCAGGAAGTGTAAGTGCTATGAAGTGAGCCGTT